AAATTTTGTGCTGAATTTTTATTTGCCTCTATTTGACCTAGTTCGTCAGGGGCCACCTCAGGCTTCAAGGGACACACCTCAGCTGGAAGGCAGATATTATTAAACTAGCTGGGACCCCTTTCAATGAAAGGAATGATCGGTGCATGAACATCAGCTGAACGTCATCGACCCACTATATTTACACTCTACTGGAATGGGGCAATAAATCTTGAAAGATGCAAAAAATAGAAGGTCTAGATCTATATTCTCAAAACTAAATGCGCCGCGCGAAATATCCGTTCTGGCATTTAGGTTAAAGAGTTATCAAATATAAATTGTTCGAACTAGTCTTTACGGAAACAATTAATTAATAATTAATCCATAAGCTGGGAGTACGCTGAATTATCTGTTGTTCTACCTCATTTGCCATTCATTATCATATTAATTTTATATGATTTCTGACTCACTGCTGTGGATGGCAACGTGGGTTGTTGATTTGGCCTGCTGGGCGAAAGTTGGAGGTTCAAATCTGAGATGTATCTGAAATAATAATAATATTGTTGTTTTTTTAAATTTTGTTTTGTTTTGTTTTTGGGTTTTTTCCATCCTGGGTTTCCTCCCTAATCGATTATCTCACACGTCATCACGTTCTCTGCTTTATAAATGAGTTTTGTTTTAGTATTAGTAACTGTTTTACAGCACTTGTAACACCATAAGGTCATATAAGTGCAGAAGATTAGAGGTGTTACAAGAGAGTAACAAACACGAAAAAGACGAAGGAGAGATAAGGACGATAGAAGTTTGATAGACCTAACCATCAATGATTTATTTATAGAGGCACCATAAGTTTGATAGAAAAGAAGAAGCAAGCCACACCAGAGCACCCTCCAACCACCCACTAAATGAGTCTAATCAACCGTAGGGTGCAGTATCTTTGGTCTAATGGCCTACAGTATGACTCAACGTAGCACAATCAAAAAGTGCTACCACTGACAGATGTCACCGCGAAGTGGAAAACGAGAAGGAAGAACTTATTCACGATTGCATTATTTTTTACCTTGCCGCTGTCGATTTTGTGTTACTGTTGCTATTGGTTGCTGTTGTTGGAGGTGGTGGTTGTGCTGTTGATTTTGTGTTACTGTTGCTATTGGTTGCTATTGTTGGAGGTGGTGGTTGTGCTGTTGATTTTCCCGTTGTTGTTTCTGTAATTTTGTTTTTTACTGTTGCTGCTGCTGTTTTTTGTCATTGTTGTTCTTGTCGTTGTCGTCGACGGGGTGGGAATCATCATCATCGCTTCTGTGGCGTGGACATTTACCATGCTTTTGCCACAGTCACCGTACTCTAATGAAGTTGCCATA